TAAATATTTCATATTTTTATTTTAAACTATTTACCGATCTATGTAGGTACAATARTATGTGTGGAAATACTATATACTTTRTCGTAGTACTGTTAAAAATAAGGAAAAGGTAAAGATTTTCGAGATAGACATATCGGTTATATGGTCTAGTATTAATTAAAGTGATAAGTTGTTCGTGTTTAGATTCAGTAGTTTTATTTTTTATGTACTTAATTATAGTTTTAAAATTATTATTAAACAAGACATTTTTTTTTTTTTTAATTTCATGTTTAGACATGATATTATTTAATATTATATTTTGTGTTCATATTTTATTTGTAAGCCAAAAAGACAATAATGATGTATATATATATATATATATAAAGAAAATATTGTAATTTGTAAATGAAATCATAAATAAATTTATATAAATATTCAAATAAATGAGTTGTGAATTTCGTTACAATCTTGATTCAATACGTCAATATTTCAATATAAAATATTATCTATCAATGGTAGGTATAAATATATTATAGAGCCATATAGGTGAAAGTATTCTTCTTACCGGCAATTCGATTTCGCACGACAGCTCTCAGCTAAGAAATGACACGGCACCTTTGCCGGGCCATCCGCACGCTGTGCACATTCCGGATGCAGCATCTCTTGAGCTATTAAACATTTGTCTTTGTTGACTCCAGATTTTCTGTATGGAAAAAAAACCACAATAATCATGTTATATTTTGGAAAAACATATTTTATAAGTACCTTTTTTGAATCCAATGTTAATAATTTTACTTTTACTTTTTAATATGAAACTATAGGTGTAAAAATATTAGCCATATTTTACAATATACATATTTTAATATAATGTAGTATGCCACACTTTTTTAGAAATTCTGGACATGGTAGACTATGTAGCATTTAAATAATCCCTGATTGTTTATAATTATAATTAATTACACATTTGAGAAATGGTTTATTCGTTTATTCGTTTATTTTTTATAATTTTTATTTTTATTCTTACTAATTTTTTACAAATTGATAAAATGCTTAAACCAAAGTCATCTGCAATTATCCTACAATACTATTACACCTGATGGAATATACTAACGCCGGGTTTTAGTTAAAAACATATTTTCTTATTTAAATTCAATATAAATATATTGTAAATACCTATATGACACAATTTCTAAATTTTAAAATTGTCTTAAAGATTTTCTATTAAGTTAATGTGCAGCTGGCTTGGGAAATTATTGCTCAATAAATATTAGAATATATTAATTATGATAAATGATAATATTTCCCTTCCCAGAATTAAAACAAAGTATTAATAATTTAATTATACATTTATACACTAAATAAATATAATTATATACCTAATTGTTGTAATATTTTTTTTTTTTTTTTTACTAAGAAAAACGAATATT